ACCGGAACTTTTATCATGTCAACTAGGTCGAACAATCCAGACCTCCACGGCCCCTTACCCCCAGCCACTCGACCGCGGCGGGCCAATCAGCTGGAGGAGCGCGTGACAGCTGAGCTGATCACCATCCAGAGAGATGCGCAGTGACTGTCGAGAGACCGACAGAGGAGACGTGGGCCGAGAACGCTCACCTCGGGCCGTCGAGGATCAAGCCACGCCTCGAGCACTCAGATCGTGGCGGAGACGCCAGGATTCAAGCGAGAAAGCGCGACGCGATGGATATAGATCCACAAGCGTCGAGCGTCTCGGCGGATACCCAGCTACGCCCCAAATCCCCGGACGTACGAGTCCTCTCGAAAGAGGAAAGGATCCAACTATTAGTCCGAGAGCACGTAGCCCTCTGGAAGAAATTCCTAGTGGATCAACCCTTAGGCGCTTCGGAGGGCAACAGAGCACTCCTAACTCAAGCTCAAGACAGTCAACGCGCTCTCCAGAAATTAATACCTCGAGCGGAGGTCGAAGAGTACGTCAAGGGCTGGAACCCTTGGACCGAGAAGAAAAACCTCTTCCCAGTTCTTCAACAGGAAAGAAACGGGAAGAACCGGAGCTCCTCCTCCCGATCCAATTCCTACAAAGCGCCCAAGATGAACGACCCGCGTCGTTGGAAAAGACTTATGAAAGCCTGCCACACCCTCGAATCGGGTTACATGAACATGGAGGATTAGATCTTAAAATCCTCACCGCCATTCTAGATAGTCTAGATCTTGTAAATAAGAATCTTTCCGCTATTGATAGCAACGCCGAAAGTAACTTTAAAACAATTGTAAATAGTTTTGATTTGAATACTAGGAACAATGAAAAAGCGTCTGATTCTTTGTCTGTAAAATTTGATAACATGCTCCGTAACCCATTGTCCATAAACCCTGAAGCTACTAAGCTTATTGCTGAGAACACAGCTAAAAGTCAATTAGCTTGTTCCAAATTAACTACAGCTGTTGATAATTTGAACAATGAATTAACCTCTACAGCGGACTACATTTTATCTAAAATGAGAGAAGATGCTCTCCTTGCTAAGAGCGCTAACAATAAAGAATTAGATATGATAAAAGACTTACTTATTCAACAGAATATAAGATCTGAGGGTATTCAAAATACCTTGAATGAACAAATGGCCACTCTTAGACAAGAAATGAAGAATGAAATTCAAAACAATGTTCATACTTTATCAGAACTAATTAAAGAAGGCTTCTCTAAGCGCGCCTCTGAAACCTCAGAACCTTCTTTTAAAAATAATGATCCAAGGTTTAACAATCCTTATATGGAAGAGAAAAATGTGCGCTATGAGAAAGAAGCTGCCCCTCACTTCCCAACTACTCAGGGGAAATCTTCACAAACATTTTATAAGAATGCCCCAGAAAAGCCTCAATCCCAGTACTACACCATGGATTTAGCCACTTTAAATAAAATGATACCACCATTAAAAGACTGGCCTACCTTCAATGGAAAGGGTGATTATGATCATATCAGCTTTATTAAATATTTAGATCATATACTAAGGACTTATAATGCCCCAGATGAATTAGTCACAGTCAGACTTCCAGGATTATTTCAAGGAGGTGCTCTAGTATGGTTTATTGAGAAAACTGAATCCCTAGGGGCACAATCTTGGGATACTTGGAAGGAGTTAATTAAAATCAAATATGGTACTAGACTCTGGGAAAAGAAAATGCGTAGATTATTTGAGACAAATTACTTTGACCCCATGAAAGATGACCCTCATGACTGGTGTATTGCCCAAAAGAAAAGAATTGATTGTATTTACACAAATCAAACAAGAATATTGGTCAATGACAAACTTCTCAGTCAATGTAGAGGAAGTATGGAACATGCTGTTAGATGCAGACTCAAAGACATGGATGTAGATATCTCTGAGCTTATTGAAGTCATGGAAGAAGTTGTTGAAATGATGGGTTTGAACAGGAGAAATAAAACTCCCATATACCCCAAGATGAGAGACTAGTGGTAATGC